TTTACGCAGCTCATTTACACACTTTTCCTGAAGATAGAAGAGTTTGTTGAATCTGACATGGCATGCTCGTACGAACCCTTCGTACGAACAAAAGTAAGAGAAATTTAGGATAAGAATACGAACATGTTCTTGCATGAGGCCCAATAAGGTGAAGTTTTTGGGTGTTGTTATTGATGAAAAGCTGTTGCAGTATTGTATGAAGTAAGGGACTTATTTAATGACAAAGCTTTGTTTATGCAATAATTTTTCCACACTTGATTTACTGTATTGAAGTCTGGGGGAAAACATGTAAAACAATTACAAATCCCATCTTTATTACAAATTTCATCATTGTGTGGGAACATATGCCCCTTTTCCACTAGTGCCAGTTAGTGTAATGTCAGGACGGTTCGGTACGGTTCCAAGCCATTTCGGACAGATTCATGGAACCAAACCTTTTTTTAGTACCTACTTTGTTGAGGTTCCAAGCGGTCCCAGTCGACACCAAAATGCGACATCAGAACATTGTTCATCATTGATTGGCTAGGGGGTGGAGTCACTGTTTGCGTCTTAGCTGCCTTTACAACAACAACTCGAGGTGCCATTTTCTCAATTGTAGCAGTGACATTAGTCGTGTTTCCATCCACTTCTAAACAGAATTTTTAGTAATTTTTTTAAATTTCAGACCTTATTCTGCAAATGTGTTTCCATCTCTCATTTTGCGCATTATCTTTTTTTCAAAAAATCCAAAAGACACCCTCCACCAACCACCCAATACACACCCACTGGAACCGGACTGGAATGTCAACAGAAAAGCACCCGAACTGACCCGTTCCAACACTGACCGTACAACACTACAGATACCAGTGTAGTGTCTGTACGGTTCAGTACGGTTTCAAGCCATTTCCATTCGGTCAGATTCATGGAACCACCCCTTTTTTAGTACCTACTTCGTTGTGGTTCCAAGTGGTCCCAGTCGACAACAAAATGCAACATCAGAACACTGTTCGTTACTGACTGGCTAGGGGGTGGAGTCACTGGTTACGTCTGAGCTGCCTTTACAACAACTTGAGGTGCCATTTTTTCAATTGTAGCAGTGACATTAGTTGTGTTTCTATCCAACTTTTAATTCGAATTTTTAGCTATTTTTCAAAATTTCCGAACTTATTCGGCAAATGTGTTTCCATCTCTCATTTTGGGCATTGAAAACTCAAAAACCACCTCCACCAACCGTCCAAAACACACCCACTGGAACTGGACTGGAATGTCAATGGAAAAGCACCCGAACTGACCCGTTCCGACACTTACCGTACCAGCACTACACTAAGTGGCACTAGTGGAAAAGGGGCAAACGAGGACCAGTAAAGCACCTTTACTTTACCTTTTATAGAAAAGAGCCGTAAGAATTATCACCAGAAAACATTACAGTCACCCATCCAATATATTACTTTGTCAGTTGAAATTATTGAAATTTTATGAGTTGGTTGATCATAATATTTTGCAGTTTATGTATAAAGTTCATAAAAATTTATTACTTCTAAATATTCAAAGGTATAGAGATGTTTGTAAAGCCCAAATTTGAACAAATTTGAAGGACAGACGTACTTCAGTCCAAGGAATAAGATTGTGGAACAATCTGGAAAGTGATTATAAAAATGCTGACTCAATAAATTTATTTAGGAGTATGATAAAAGTTAGATTGTTGAAGAAATATGAATTTGTATAATGTGCATTCATAAGAACCGTTGTTCGAGAAGGAGTTAAAGTTTTTATGTTTTGTTATTTGAAGACTATTGTTTCAATTTATTTGTTTTAAAAAGGGGCAGATATCAATAAGATTTTTTTCTTCTTTCTGCTACCTTTCATTTTATGTGTGTTGTATTATTTGTTGTATGTAAAGCATTTGTTTTGTCTTTAAATGAAATGAATACATTTTTTAAATAAAAAATAAAAAAATAATAAATTAATGAGCCTTGTCCCTTTTTTATTAAATAAACCCGTCTCTATTCTTCTGGTGTTTCTGTGCAGAAACATCACTCAGACCCTCGGGGATCAGATCGTGTCACAGACACTCAGATGCAAGTTGATGACCTGAAGGGCATCATGGTCCGCAACATTGGTAAGCCTTTTTCTAGGTTCCTTATTATAAAGCCTAAAAGTATTTCAAATTGACCATATTAAAGGCTGTCACCACTCACTGTGTGGATATTTGCTTTGAAATGTTGAAACCCTACAGGTCAGAAAAGATGATGGGTAAAGTTTTCTATTAGTATAGCTCTTAATACAATCTTCTATGATGAAATATTTAAATTTCATTTAAATCATTTGTATTTTCTTTTTTTAATAATCTAAATCAGTGTTCGTAGAGTGGGCCACCCTCCTTGGACAATGGGAGGGTAAACACTGTAACTGAAGACCCTCTCTTCAGTGGCTGACCTCCTCTGTGTAGTTTGTTCCTCTTGCTCATGTTAAATCTTCTGACACAGATCTTTAGACAGAGTTTAATCCAAAAAATTGCCAAACACTGAAGGATAGCCATAAGGCTGTTTTCACACTGCAGGTCTTAATGTTTTATTTATTACCCGTATTTTTCAGACTATAAGCCGCACCGGACTATAAGCCACACTACCAACATTAAAAAAAACAGTACACCCAAAATTGTCGTCAAAAAAGTGAATTCAACATCAAAAGATAAAAAGCAAACCTTTAGTAATTAAAGTTCGGAGGAATACGGTTCATTTAACTGACCTTATTTTGGTAGTTMTCTTTAACAGTTTCTGGTCCAACAAAACGTCTCATTCATCTTCCTCCGGCACACTGAAACCATCGAAGTCCTCCTCTTCAGTGTCGGAGTTAAACAAGCTSAGAAAAGCTMRGTCACACAGCGGTATCTGTTGTCCTCCCGGGGTAATGCTGGCTCTGAAGCTGTGGTGCCCTCTTCACGTAGCAGTCCAGCCTTTCAGAACCCATTGGTGATTGTGGACTCATTCACTCTGCTCCACGCTGTTAGGATCCACTGGCAGACATCAGGAAATGACGCGCTTCACATTCGGCCAGTTTTTGTGAATGATTTATCCCCGTCAGTCATCCAAGCCTCCCATTGACCCCTGAGTGCTGCTTTAAATGCACGATTCACACTGATGTCCAGGGGTTGCAAAAACTTTGTTGTACCTCCAAGAATAACAACAGGAAGTGAGTTTGTTTTCTTGATGGCTGCTTTCACCGAACCCATGACGTGGGCACACATACTGTCCAATATCATGTCTGTCGAAGATCCGTCATGTTGTCTGCTACTAGCTAAAACAAAATGGCGCTACACCTCCAGCTAAGCTGGCAGTATGGTCGCTCGGCTGTCGACGCGCCGTCTTGTGGTTGTTCGGCGTTCATTTTCACACTGACCTTTCATAGTTCCACTGAGAAACCCCGAGCCTAGCTGCTGGGAAATCCCTCCCGCTCCAGCATACGTCACTGCATGGGATTCCTTCCCCGGGGAGTGCAATGGTAAATGGTACTGAACTTATAGAGCGCTTTTCAAGTCCCTCCGGACCCCAAAGCGCTTTTACACTAGCAGACATTCACCCATTCACACTCACATTCACACACTGATGATGGCAAACTACACTGTAGCCACAGCTGCCCTGGGGCACACTGACAGAGGTGGGGCTGCCATGCATCGGCGCCACCGGACCCTCTGACCACCATCAGTTGGCAAGGTGGGTGAAGTGTCTTGCCCAAGGACACAACGACTGAGACGGCTGGACGGGGGATCGAACCAGTAACCTTCTGGTTCCAGGACGACTCCCCTAACCACTCCGCCACAGCCGCCCCAGTGCAATGCAGAAAAAAAGTCCGCGGCTCTTCACTCGACGTTGTTTATCCACAAACTGGTCCCGGATTAAGCACCAAAGTTTTTATCTGTCAGATTCCACCGTGAAAAATGTCTTGTTTTATTAAAGAGTTTTTGGCCATTGACTATCTTTAAATCGCTGCTTCCTCGTCGGCTCTGGAAGGGATCGCTTTCTTCTTCTTTTTTCCCCCCATTTCTTTTTTTGATACAAGTGGTTGAAGCAAATGCAGCATAAGAGCCAATCTATGTCCTCATTTACCCACCCACACAGCTAACTTATACAAAGCTAACTTATACAACCAGCTATGGAGACTAATCAGTGCCAGTCACATTCATACACTGATGGGACACACATCAGAGGCATTAGGGGTGAAGTGTCATGCCCAAGGACACAACAACTGAGACAGCTGGATGGGATCGAACCGGCGACCTTCCGGTCCCAGAACGACTCTCCTAACCACTCTGCCACAGCCGCCCCTGTAGCGATCTGCATGTGCAGAAGAAGATGTGAAGTCATGCGCAGCACATTGTATTTACACAAGTAAATGGATGCTACATGTTAGCATGTGTGTGAATTTATTCAGAAGTTGTTGTGTTATTAGGATGACTATTGCTCTCTGCTGTTTGTTTCTTCCCATGTTCATATTTGATCTAGCTGCTTCCTGCCTGCTGAGGGGCAGAACTGCACTTTTGGAATGAGAGTGGTGTAGTGAAAGTAGAAACAAACCATCATGCTAGTATCACTATGATCCAACATGCTGGTAAACCATCAGTTTCATATGTTAGTGCAATTCTCAGTCATCCAGGACATTACTAATCTAGATAGTTTAAAAAACATGAAGCAACTGGACTTCTGTTCTGTCTGTAGCTGAAGATGTGCAGAGCGCCAAGCTATAAACTGCATGATGTTTGTATCAATGATATCAATATCTGAATCAATCAGCGTACCCCTACCTCAATTATGTAAAAGTTGGATGAAATGGGATCATTCAGACTGCAGATGCTTTGAGAAATATCAGATATGTATCTGATTTAGTACCACATATGAAAAAGACCTGGTTCAAATAAAAAAAGTCAGATTTGTGTGAACGTAGCCTAAGTAGGATTTTGCAGCCTTTTGATGTTCATGTTGTTTCCCTGACTCAGCCCTGTGTGTTCTGTTTGTTCTTTTCTCTAGACCTGGTGGCTCAGAGGGGAGAGAAGCTGGAGCTTCTGATTGACAAGACAGAAAATCTGGTTGATGCAGTGAGTTTAGTTTGCCTTACTTGTTTTCTGGCGCACCCTACTTGATAATAAACAAAATTTTTTTGAGCTATTTATCAGTAGTGATTAATATGTTTTTCGTTCCGCTTCACCAGTCAGTCACGTTTAAAACCACGAGTCGTAACCTCGCCCGGGCCATGTGTATGAAGAACCTCAAGCTGACACTTGTTATTGTGCTGGTGTGTGTGGTAAGTACAGGCAGTCTTAATTAATGATGAAATGTGCTTTAAAATTTGATATTTTTTCTGCAATTTAGGGAAATGTGACTGGCTCTCAGCTGCTACCACATCAAGTTTTAGCTCAATATCTGACATTGTCTTTTGTTTGTAAAGGTCAGTTTGATGTGGCTGCCAGCTTGAGCTGGATTGGCTCAAAAAGTTAAACTGTCATAAATTCACAGCTGATGAATATTTTCTGAAAGTTTCATTGAAATCCATCCAGTGTTTCATGAGATATTTTGCCAATAGACAGAGCTCACTCCAAATATTTAATGGCAAAACTTTGAACAAAGTTCTTGTGCAATCTGTTAGTGCTCAGAGTATGTGTCAGGAATCAGTTTCAGCTGCCATCACTAAATTTTAGCTCAGTTTATGTAAAATGTTTGAGTGGGAGACATTTTTTTTCAGTTGACTGTGTTAACTATTTTGAATTGGTAGTGGTGGGCACAGCTAACCAAAATGTTAGCTTTTCTATAACTCATCATCTGCTAGCTAAAAATATAGCTTTGCCACTACTAAACTGCTAAACATGAAAAAAAGGGAAAATAGTGGAAGCTAATGCTAAACAAGTAAAAATGAGCCGACACTAACGATAATCATTAATTGCTAAGACAATTGTCACTCAGTCTGCGTCACATGTCTTTGTCTCCTTCAAAAACTAGTGGGACTGAAATAAAACTGTTCGTTAGCTGTTAACAGACCTGAAGTGCATGCGACATCAAATTTTAATAATAAACATGAATTCATTTTAGAAAGATAACATTAATAAAATATTGCAAAATAAATTTCACAGCTCTGAGAAGAACCATTGTTGAGGTATTTGCACATGTTGTAACAGGAAGTGATGACAAACGGGAATGTCTGCATGTAAACAGCGTTGCTATAGTGGCTGACAACACAGACAGTAGAGACAAATTTAATGTTTCTTTAGATTATTTTTAGTCACGATCAGAGAGATGAAGAAAATTCAGATTTAAAATTATATTGTTTCAATAAAGACCAGTCAGTTTTCTTTCTTTGAGTTCCTCTTTGATGTCACTTCCTGTTTATGTGAAAAAGTGAAAATCATGTGTATTGTGCCATGTTTCTTAAAAATTAGGATGTTTTCTTTGACCTTTTGTATTTGAAGGATATTGCATGTCACAGGCACTTTAAAGTTGGCAAAACCTAATTTAGCGTAAGGTAATTTGTCCACTAATTGTTTGAAAGTTAGTGAAAAGGTGAAACCACTAAATGAAAAATTAGTTGAGCTGTTAGCTGATTAGAGGAACCATGCCCATCACTGAATTGGATTGTCTAAATCAGTCATAATACATTCATATTTGTTATTTCGTGTGAGTTATATTTAAATATATCCAGTAGTTCATGAGATAATTTGCTGACAGATTTGCAAAGCATTATTCCTCGCCTTCAGCCTATAAATATTGAATTGTTTGCTTTTAGCTTTTTGATCTTTTGGAAGGCTGGTTTGTTTTGAGGGATGTTTTTCTTAGTGTGTCGGGATCTGATGAATCAGTCGATGAACATTGTGTTCTGCTTTCAGGTGGTCATTTACATCATCGTCTCGGCTGCCTGTGGAGGCCTCAGCTGGCCTTCGTGTGTCAAGAAATGAGAGAGGTCAGATAAAAGAGGGAGAGGGGCAGAAGTGCCTGTTCAGCTTTGGACAAAAACAAATGCAGGACCTTTTTTTTTCTTTTCCTCTTTCAACATAATTGGAAAACCTGTGTTTCTTCTTCCTGCCTCCTTCCCCTCCTTCTTAAAAAAAAGGAAATTTGAAAAAGAAAAGCCAGCACAATTCTTTGCCTTCAGGACCGCCAACCTTACGAACAGCTTCCACATAACCTGAAACTGATGTGGAGGAAGACATCTTGTTTTTTGTTCATCCTGTGACATGTACCTGTTGGCCTGATGAGTCTGTGATAATTGTCTGTAAATAGTCTGATCAGACTGATGAATATTACAAAGTTAAACTTGTTATTGTTCTGATTTACTCTCCAGTGTGTCTGTAGCATTCATGTTGTGCTGCAGGTCCATCAGGAAAACCTCACATCATGTTGTCTGTTGTACAGCTTAAAGCTAACATTTGGACTCAGCTGATGCAGTATAAATATTTTCTGAACTACTTTTACCACATACCTTCTAAAATAAATGTTATAAAAGAGCTCATATGAAATATAAATATTGCACATTTGATTAATATTGCTGATATTTAATGGTTATCTTAAAGTAATTCTGATTTGCGAAAGAACTTGACCTTTTCCTGGCTGTGAATGTGATAAAAGGCTTCCTTCTGACTTTTTATTACCTCTTGAGATGTTCATTGTGCTCATTTCTTTTCTTTTTGTTAACACAATGCACTTTTCAAATTGTACATAAATGTGTTTACTGGCATCATTTATTACACATGTTGATGTAATTATTGTTGTAAATTCAGATTTAAATAAAGTCAAGTGGCATCGAGCAGGTGATTTATACCAGGAAGACAAAAGTGGTGTAAATGCATGTTTTTCAATTATTTTTTAATATTGAAGATGCGATGTAGCATACATTACTATACAAAAGGTCAAATCAATCAACTAATTTATTTCCATGGACTAAACATTTTCATTGCTTTTGGTCTCATTTTCAATCACGCGGTCTGTGAGGCTGACCTGCTCTTGGCAGATTTACTCACAGTTCATATTTATTTTTTTGTTGGTTTGTTTGTTTGTTTGTTTGTTTTTTTCTGTAAATTGAACAGAACTCCAGGGGATGTTTAGGGCCTTTGAAATGCTTAAGTATCCACACCCTGACCTTTTTTTTCTGAGTTGAATTAGGACAGTCACTTTAAAGGGGTGAAAATTTTTGCAATCATATATTTCATATTAGGCTACACAGTTTTTAAATGATCTAATTGGTGTTACTTTGTAGAAACTTATTTCACTTTTACCTTAAAAATGTTTTGGCATTTTCTATTTTTGAAAAACGTTATTGACCATGACTGATTTAGGACAAGAAAACAAACATGAAACATACAAGGGTGTGAATAGTTTTTAAAAACTATAAGTTTTCAGTTAATAGATGTGGAATCACTTCTTTCTGCCTAAATATTTTCGACTGTGTCAAACTTATAAACACAGGGAAAGTGTTTTATAGTTTGTTCAAAGTAAAAGTGATGTTTTTGTCAAAATGTATGTCCAAACAACACTGGTTTGTCCAGTTTGTGTTTATGCTTGTTGGAGCTTTGATGGTCATTTGTTAGTACTGGCTTAACAAGCTTTATATATATATATGAAAATAGGCAGGTAGCTACTGAAGGGGTAACATTGGAAAAACTTCCCAAAAGAAAAAAAATGAGAAAGATTAAAGAAATGTTGGTCACGACACATTAAATCTTTAACAGTGACTGAACAATAAACTGTATAAATTATTTTTGCTTTATAGAAATTATGCACAAACACACATACAAAAGGAACATAAATCAGATCAGTTTAAATTGAAATGGTTTCAGTGAGCTGGAAACTCATTTATTCATTAATCGAGTTAAAAAGTTGCCTAATCAGCCTAATGTGGAGTCTAATCGTCTCAGTAAGTTTCAGGAGGCAAAGTTCAGCCTTTTCATCACTAGAGAGCGATTGTTAAACTGTAGTTTAGGTTAATATTAAGCTGTTTCAGATGACATGATTTGATGCTGTTAAAAAGCGGAAGAACCGAGTCCGACCAGGTGGACCTGATTGTTCCTCAGAGCTCATCGGGCTTTCTGCGTGACAGGTAACCAACAAGCTAACTCGTAATGAGCCCCGTTTTATTTACGCAAATTTCAAATTTGTGGATTTTGTGAACTGTAAGACTTTAAATGCTTGTCAGTCGGTGACGTAACCTACTTGAACATTTTGTCTTAGTGTTTTAAAGTAACTTCTAAACTCTTAAATACTGAAATTGACAGTTGAAAACTAGCAACAACCGCTGCTAGCATAACTAACGTGTTGTTTTTACGGTCAGATAATATCTGGGGGGGGGGAAATCTGTGGTGTTTTGGTTAGGGCCATAAACTATATTTTAAAGAAATGTATTACAAACTTGATTTTAATAGAAAATAACCCCAGGGCACACATGTCAAGCCAGCCTGCAGTCGATTTCAACTGGTTGGTCTTTCACTGAAGTTTATAATTTTACTTTTTTATGTTTTCTATTCTGGTCATCAATTTATCACGTTGTTCTTCATAAACTGGATAATTTTTCTTTTATTTTAAGCTAGTTTGTTTGGGCCTTGTTTTTAATTGACTCATTTTGTGTCATTTTTCAGTTTTATTGGAAGAATTATTTTTTGTCTCTGCGATTTTATGTTTGGCGTATAGTTTTAAGATTTTCATGCATTTTGTTCTCCCTTGCATCACATCAAGAATAGTATAGGAGAGACGACTTAGGATACCTTCTGGACTGTTTCAGCATTTTTTWATTATTATTATTATTATTATTATTATTATTATTATTATTATTATTATTATTATTATTATTATTATTWTMWTWATTTATATCACTATTGAGATTATAAAATTATTGTTGCTTCTCATAAACCGCTTGACTCATTAGGACTTATTGCTACTGACAATTTGTTTGTCAGTAGCAAACACGACACAAGGTTTGGTCATGTTTGGCTTACTGATCTGGATAACTAAATTAATAATAAACTTTTAGCAGATAGTTTTACACAGCGCATGTTGCTTTTATCAGAATGGCTCAGGTAAATTATCCATCAAGTTCTTAATTTTTAAACAGACTGATCTGACAACAATTGTTGTGCTTATGTTGCCTTTGTTTCTCTAGTTTGATCGACTTGGCTTTTTGTGGCGTGAACTACCTTGTTCTGATGACTGACCATGAGAGTCATAACTGCTCACTGAGTTACACCAACATATCAAAGCTCCAGTCATTCACAAAGAGACAGAGGAAGGCGTTTAATGCTGGCCTTTTTTGTAGATAAAGAAGTCTTGCATTTTTCCTTTTCTTCCCCCCCACTCTCACTTCTAAATACATAACTCAGTTTGAGGTCAGTAACATGAAGCGCCTCTTTTAATAAAGGCCTAGCGGTGAAAGCTGACTCCAGCTCTCAGTGGAGCAGTTTGCAGCAGAGTACGACGTGGCTGGGATGAGGATCTACACCTGCAAACCTGAGGCCATGGTCCTCCACTGGAAAAAGATGAATTGCTCTCTCTGGGTGGAGAATGAAGAATTACATCAAGTGGAGGAGTTTAAACATCTCAGGGTTTTGTTTATGAGTGAGGGACTGATAAAGCCCTAGCATTTATTCTTTTCATCAAACACATTTCATGCCAGCGTTTTAGTCAATCATCTTATGTTGGGAAAGGACTGAGGTTTAGTCTTGCACACATTACTTTCAAAATTTGAGCAATGCCATTTGATATTGTGAGATGTGTGTGTTGTTGGCAGCATTATCAAGTCTATTCATTTTTCCAGATGACCGATGGTTGACTGCAGATGGTTAATGCCAAATGTTTAAACAAAGATGTTTTGTAATCTATCATTCAGAAAATGTCAGCTACTAACACGATGTTTAGCTCTAGTATCTGTAAAATTGATTTGCGTTACCGCAAATAAGGTGTTTTAGTCGTAGTGGCCATCCTAAATTGGGTCGACCCCAAAAGTTAGTAGTAGAGCTGCACGATATTAGGAAAACCTGTGATGTGCGATAACGGCGCTTAGTACTGTGATGACAATGTGACGTGCGATAAACAAACAAGCACCTAAAGTATGTAGTGCTGATGTCTTTCTGCTGTTTGTTCAGAGAAAAAAAAGTTAGATTCCAGAATTAAGTTTTAAAATATATGAAGAGATCCATTCAATTGACCAAAGACATGAAGGGCTCAATTTGATTGGTGAAAAACTTCAAGCTTCCATCTTAGTGACAAAACTCATAAATGCACATTTTTGAGCCAACCATTTATTGCAGTTTATTGTGATCTGCCTATTGCGCAGACTGTTATCCCAATGACGATGCATTTTTCAGATATTGTGCAGCCCTAGTTAGTAGCTTGTGCATCCAAAGATTACTTAGTGCAAGATTCATTAAAATCTACCCAGTGGTTTATTATATATTTTGGCAACAGACACTGCCAAAACATTATTGCCCACTTTTCTTCAGTAGATGGTAATTATCCAAGGAACTTCGTAAGATTTGATAACAGAATTAATTATTGAGAAATAATTTAAGTAAAAAACCACTTATTTAACAAGATGTGGCAACTCGGTTTTCTATAGGAACCTTTCTCATGCCTATGCAGCTACATACCAAATGGTAATTGGTATCTCAGTTATTTTTTAACTTATCCAGCTCACATGATGAACGGACGGACAGATGGACGTTATTGTCAAGTCCCCTCATTGCTCTGTGACAGGGGACAAGCTGTTTTCATGGCTAAATTTAAATGAATGTGAAATAGTGATTTTTTTTTTCCTTCAGTAAAAAGAATGCTGGATATCTTTAAACAAATGAATACTTCAGGCTCATTAGACTTGTTTAGTAAGATTTCACAGAATGCTGAGCTGACATTCAGAGCTTAGAGAGAGGAGTCTGACTGCAAATATTTCCATCTTGTCTTGTAGAGAATGGACTCTAGTTTCCTGGGTCATTGGACTTCATGTAGGATAATTAGAGTGTAGGACCTAGGGGGGTTTATGCTCTGGTGTCACAGCAATTCTGTTGTGACAGGATCAAATAACAAGCTGTGCACGGGGACGTGTCGTTGAAAGTGATGTTTTCCCTGGAGAACTATGCAAAACTTAAGGTTACACTATTGGGTTTTATTAGTAGAATGTGAGTTTTGGTACAAATTTTAAAGTGATGCAAACGCCACATCTTGCTCCTGCACCTCGGCCTCCCATCTCTCTCTGCTCCTCTTTTTTTGTTTATCCCCTGCTGAAAAGCTGCCTGATCCATTCCCTCGTAGCAAAATGACTTGGGCTGCATAGCAGCAGTGAATGCCAACACCGTCTGGCTGCCCACAGCCACTCCCCTTTCACTGGGCTTGGATAAGGTAACACATTTTCTTCTTGGCTGGTTCCTTTAGTAAACTGGGAGCTGAACAGAGAGCACAGTGCTTAGCTGGACCTTGACCCGCTTGTACAGTCAGCACTGAGCAGGGAAGTGACTGTTAGTCTGTCACGGGAGCTGGTGGGAGAGACTACTGAACCTATGGACAAAGTCATGTTACTGCTGGGGAAAGAGGAGCTTAAAAAAACTGAGCGAATAATTGCACCGGAGTCACATTCATTCAGGCTGTTCTTTTATTGATGCACGGCTGATTTGGAACTTAAGAATGGAGGTGTGGTGGGATGGCGTTCAGCTCACACTAAACTCTGGCTGGATTTAGTTCTTTGGAAGGAAGACAGTGAAGGATTGATTCACAAAAAAGAAAAAAAAAGAATGAAGTAAATTACAACTCTCCCTGGAGGTATTTTCCTCCACAATCTGAATCAGTGGATGGATTGAAGACAAATAAAGTTATTCAGGTTAGTTCAAATTATAGTAAAACATTTCATTGAAAACTTTCTGTCGGTATTTTACTTTATTTTTTTAGTTTTCAGTAATGCCTCTGTTTTTTTAAGCGACTTGTACTGCAGTTCTTGTTTTATTTTGCAGTAAACACAGACGGGTCATTGTTTGCTGTTACACAACACAATGCTAATCAACCAGTGAAACTACAACTCTTTATAAGCATTTTACTTGACAATGTATTGCAGGGGGCATGGAGAGGAAATTCCTGCTAAAGTTCAATGTGCACAGCAGTTTTACAAGTCTTTGCATATCTGATTGCAGAACGTAATGTACAACCTGGTAAACAAACTTTACATTTACTCTAAAACCTTTTTTATTTATATCTATAAAAATGAGGAATGCAAAATATTTACATAACCAAGATTATTGGTGCAAGCATGTTTTAAAAGTGAATGTACATACTTCTTATTTCTTAAATATTTCTTCAGGCTATTTTGTATTTATTTTGTTTTAAGGACTACAAACTAAAATAAAAACTAAATCAGCAATGTTGATGCAATAATACATTACCATTGATGTTATTTAAAGGTTGAGTTAAAAAGAAAAACAAACAAGAGTTGAGTGTAATTTGAAATCCATATAGTATATTTGAAATTTTGTGCACTTTCAGCTTGCAGTTTAAACATTTCACTTCATTTGTCTGTGGTTTTAGAAAACTCTTACTACATACTTTCATGACAGCCTTTAATACAGTAAAAGGCTTGTACATGTGCCAAATTGGGTTCAGGGAGTTCCAATCAATGCTTTCTGTCACACAGAAACTCTTGGCAGTAAAATACAGTCAAGTCAAAGGTTGGCAGGCTGTTATACAAGAATAGAACCACAAGGTTAAATTTCTGCAGTTTCTCTTTAAATAGATTTTTAAGTTAATCATAGTTTTTGTTTAAAGTGGGCCTGTTATGGGGTCTTAGCACAAGTTAGGATCCATCTGTGGGCTGTACAAAACATGTTCATTTGATTTAATTCACAAAAAGAATCTAAAATAATGAAATTTCACCTTTTCAGTTCTTTCCGTTCTTCAGCTCTCTCCAGAATGTGCTGTATGCAGAAGTTGCTATGGAAACCCCCTCCCCTATCCCCCCATTTTTAGCTCCGCCCCCCCGACATGGTAGAAGTTTCCAAAGTGAAATTATTTTTCACAAACTACAGCTTTCTTTTGGCAATATTGTTAGAACATTGTCATCAAAGATAAAAATAAAATTAATCCAGGCATCCATCTCTGTTCTCTGTGGCTGCTGTGGAAACGGAACAACTATCGTTTTTTGAGGAAGTGGGTGGAGCTTCACCTCGGGTTGCCTCGTGAGGAGCAGGACTCTGGTTTAGATTGCTAGGTGACTGTTATTGTGACGTCAAAATAACGTGCGTTGAGAAATACCATGTTTCCAGATACCTAAAAATACATGTAATTACTGCTAAAAAATGGCTGGGTGCATTTTTTGGTGTTTGGACTGCTTCTCTAAGCAGTAGAGACCCAAAAATAAGTTTAAAAACATGAAAAAAAGTGAGTTTTGCATAATAGGCCCACTTTAAGCTGATTCCTCTGTTAACCTTGAGGTATTACCAATCGATTGCTTTTTGTACTCTAAAATGATCTCTGATCACATCCCTGGTCTAAACTCAAGACTGATAAATGAAGCAATGACAAAATTAATACCAGGTGAAGCTGTAGAATTGTACCAAGTCAGCTTTTTTGGATCAGTTAAGGCTTTGAAATTCACAAAAATGTCTAAAATCTGTATTGCAGAACATATTCAAGCCTTTGGTGACCTGATATGTTTGTCTTTTTGTAGTTTGCGTGACAGTGGTGCTTTTGTTGCAGTGGCTGGCAGGATTTGTACGCCAACGTGCTTTAATAAACATGCAGGTGCCACTGAAAAACTGTTAAGTTTGGCTGTTTACTCCTCAATCTGAATGCCTCCTTTCATACAATGTCCATAAGGAGCAATTTCATTTCTTTTTGACTTTAGATTTGTTTTATTAATCTAATCTTCAGTGGGAATAAAGGAAGTCATACCGTGCACCCCCTTGTGACTGGGTGTTTTTGCACTACCCGGCCGGGATTCAAACCTTTTGTTCTGTGTTTTTGCATTGGCCCTTATGGCCCATGTCCACCCCAATTTCTAAGCAGGTAAGTAAAAGTTTATTTATATAGCACCTCTCACAGACATTAAGAAGGGTCACAAAGGGCTTTACAAAGGTGCACAATTATACAGTAAATAAAACAGAAAACCATCAAGAGTAAACCTCGTAAAAAGCACTGATAAACAGTCAACACACTAAAATAGCTTAAAAAAATTTACAAAAATGTTTTAAGTTTGCTCTTAAAATCATCCACAGAATCAAGCAAACGTATTGAAAGTGGAAGATCATTCCAGGGCCTTGGAGCAATGGATTTGTGGAGCCTCATACTGTGGTTCCAATTGGGCTTGGGCTGCTTGGCCCAATTTGATGTCAGCAACTGCTGCTCACTGACTGGTTCACTCACTAGGGTGTTTACTTTATGCAAGTGAGAGTAACTTAATTGTTTACGGCGACTGTAACGTTATTTTCACACAAGTTTAACTACGCAACAACAGTAACGAGCTAACATCAGCAATAACTAGCTAATAAAAAGGTAACATTAGCTTATCGTTCTCTGTAGTACTACCCTCTCGTCTTAAGCGTCGTACTACTGGATGGACCGGTTCAACAGTGAGTGCTGCTTCTTTGTATTAGGTTTAGTCCATTGTTTTTTATACACATAAACCAAACCTCAATAAAATTGCACGTGTTTTAATATTCAATCCAAACACAACTCAGGCTGGAGTAGAATAAGCACAGGCCATCATCTCATCCCTCTACTTGTATTCCTCTGCCTCCAGTCTCCCTTCCCTTATTGAATGTGTCACCTGCTGTTGAAGTGTAACTTAC